GCAGACGCTTAACGACTGAGCCACCCAGGCGCCCCAAGATTTTATTTATTTATTCATGAGAGACAGAGAGAGAGGCAGAGGCAGAAGCAGAAGCAGGTTCCCTGCGGAGCAGGGAAGTCCGATGCGGGACTTGATCCCAGGACCCTGGGATCATGAACTGAGCTGAAGGCAGAGGCTTAACCGACTGAGCCTCCCAGGCGTCCCTCTTCCAGTTGCTTTTTAATTGTTTGTTTGCTTATTTTTAACCATTAGTAGCAAAAAACACTGAAGCCAGTGTTCTTTTTCTCTCCTATAAAAATGTCATCTTGAATTCATGGTAGTTTGCTTCTGATTTGGGTTTGTGAACTCAAGGCACCCTCTCTCAAGGTATTTTTTTTTTCTTGATGATTCATTTTTATTATTATTTTTAATTGTGATAAAGTAGACATAACATAAAATTTACCATCTTAGGCATTTTTATAGTTCAATATTGTCAAGTATATTCACTTTGTGCCACCAATCTCCAGAATTCTTTCATCATGCAAAACTCTAACTCTATACTTGCTGATTCTTGAATATTATAGTGATTTTACAAAGGACAACCTTGTATCACTGGACTGAAAATGAAGGGTATGCAGAATACATATCCATGATCTGTCAGTGGGTTTAACTTTTAGCTCATTTTACTTGGTCTCTAGTCTAGATTAATACTTCTTTGAGTCTTTTCAGTATGTCAGATGCTATTCTTTTCTGTTTTTTATGACAATAAGTTTCAATCACATTTCAGAAATAAATTTAGAACAAATAGTTATAGATATTTGTTCTGATCTAAATACCTTATTGGTATGAATTCTATAAAAAAAGAAAAGGAAAATACAGAATTCTTCTATATTAAGTAAATAAGATTTAAAGAGGAGGAAGATTATTACAGGGTTCTATTTTTTTTTTTTTTACCTTGAACCAGCTTATTGGGTGATGAGTTAAAGCAAATCATGAGCTAAATGTTTCTAAAATTGATTTTCAATACATTTGTAGAGGCTTCAGAAAGGAGGGAGTTACTTAAAGAGTGATGAAACGTGGAAGCAATTTTTATGTCTTCTTTGAAATCTAAATGAAAGTTCCAAAGTTAGCACAGAGTAGGTATTGTTCATTAGTTATTTGTTCATTACACACATAATTTACAAAGGGCTCTCTGTATGTCTGGCAGGGTGTGGCACTGAGTCAGGAAGGTAGTTCTGTAAAGAGATAAGATAACTGCATATCTCCGGGAGATACGAACTGAGCAGAGAGCTCAGAAGACAGAGCCACAGTGCTCAGGGAGCACTAAAGGGCCCCGAGCGGCCGACCAACATACAGAGCCCGACTTTCCACTGTTTTCAATTACTTGCTCTTAATAGTTTCGACTCTAATTTTTTCTTAAGAACTTAACACTAAAAATAGTAGTTGCAGATTCCTTTCTTCTCTTTGCAAAGGAATACAAATCTCTAAAACATGTTTTAATGGTTTTGTTCTACATTTTCAGCTATTAATTGTAAATCATATAATTCTAAGTTGAATTGATTGTTCAGTCACATAATTGTAAAGTGAAGCGTGTCATCGTAGTTAATGTAGCAATAAAACTAAAATTACAAGCATCAGAGAATCAGGTTTTTGATTAGTGGGTAAGTGTTCTGAAAAGATACCCAAGCACTGAGAATTTGTTGAGCACCAGAAACCAATTTTAATAAATCTTCTAATCTCTGTTTATAGAGGATATTTTTTTCCCAAAATGTTATCTCACTTCTCATCATTTATCTTCAATACCATAATGTCTAGACCCTGTTAAAAATAGAAATTATCCTTTAATCATTATTATTGTACAGTAATTCTAAGATAGTATCACAAAGATAATTTAACTTCTTAAGATAACATAAGCCTTCAAAATAAAGATTCATTAAGATTATACACTGGCTTATTTTGACACAATGCTGTCAAGAATTCAGGAATCACAAACAGAATTACCTTAATAACAACAACCTAGGAGATACCTGATTATCTTCCAGACCTGAAACATTTACTTAAAAGGGGGAAAAAAAGAATCATTGTAGTTGTGCCAATATTTAAAAGCTATCATTTTAATTATGATTTAGAGTGGGATTTTCTTTTACTTACCACCTAGTCATTAGAATAAAGCGTCCTTTAAAAAATATTCCTTTTAATTCTTTGTTGGTAAAGAATTTAAAGAAGCAAAATTTCACTTAATTCAATCTAAAAATATAATCAAGCAAAACAACAAGTAAAAACAACAAAAAACCTCATACTTATATGGGGTTGGCAGAAATATGTTCAAGTGATAGTTTTGTTTTTCAATGTTCTGAAGTGGCATTTTTGTGACATATAAATCACTATCTCTCTCTATAAAAGTTTTCCACCATTTTCATGTTTTTCTACTCAAATTGTGTGTGCACATGTGTGTGCATATATGTGTACCTTTGCAAAGATGATACAAATATTCAATCCATATTATTAGTTTTTTTTTATTTTTTTAAGCTTTTATTTATTTATTTGGAGAGAGAGATGGAGAGAGAGAGCATAAACTGGGGGATGAGCAGAGGGGCAAGCAGACTCCCTGCTCGGCAGGGAGCCCGTTGTGGGGTTTGATCCCAGGGCCCTGAGATCATGACCTAAGCCAAAGTCAGACGATTAACCGACTGAGCCACCCAGGTGCCCTCCATATTGTTTTTGAAAAAACAGTAAGGGTAAAAATACATACATGTATATATATATTTTTTTTTCTTTCAGAGTTATAGAATATAGATTACCAGTATAATAAGAGATTATTCTAATGAAATGAAAATTGTGCTCAGTGTCACTTTACAGATGCTCAGCTGTTATAAAGTTATATTTTAAACACATTTTTAAAAGAGATTTAATATTAATTTCCTTATGAAAATATAATGGGAGCTGCATGCATTTAAAAATAGAACCTATGATCTGATTATCTTATATTGATTTTATTTGCTTATCTCTATCCAAAATCCAAAATATCTTTGGTTTGTTTGTTCTTGGAAGCAATTTTACTTGCCTTTGAATACAAACAGGTTAGAAAAACTCACAAGTAAATACTGCAATGTCTCTAACAATTATTGTTTCATTCATAATTTATAAAACTCATTAACAGTTATCACTCAGTAAGGTGAAAATGTCAGGCACTTTATTTTTAATTATTTAATCTTAGGCAAGTTACAGAAACATTCAAATAATGATAAGGCCTGTAACGACATCTTAAGGAAATTCTAATTATATCTGCTCTTTGTTACATCTTTGGAGAAGCAATTTAATTGACTCAAGTTAGCCAGTCCAAGGTCAGTCAAATGGCCCTTGGCCTAATTCAGAGATGCCAAAACTGAAAGGAATACATAGAAGGGAAAGTTACAACTTGTTCATAAAACCTAATTAAGGACAAAAATTCAGAGCCCTAAAAATGCAGATGGACATCTCTATCAAATAACAGGATTCAAGTATTTGAATGGTTGTGAAAAAAAGTTGGGAAAATGTTGGTCTAAATGCCATATGGTAGAGGATTTGAATAACCAAGGGAGCAAAGACTGCCCTGGGTTCCAAGAATAGAGAGGGGAAGGAGATCTGAGCTCAAAAAATGAAGTACTGAAAAATAAGGGTAACAGCACCAAAAATAGAGCTTGCATGATTGAAACTGGCTGGTGGGGGCGGGGG